ATAAAATATGAAACTTGAATTTTAATATTTTATAAATTCTCATAAATAAACGCAGGTCGTCTCTGCGATGATTAAAGTGAGTACTCCAAAACACAGTTAGTCATAGAAATAGACTCAAATACATATCGATATTTATTGTTTCGGTTTTTCGCTGTGACAACAAAAGATAGTGTATCATCTTTCGTGGTCGAGGCCGAAAAATATTTTTGCCGTTATCAGATAAAACTCAAGCGACAAAAAAATACGAGAAAAAGGAGGGCTTTAGCCAACGCGAATCTGCTGGGTAAGCGCTTTTTCCCAGCACCCCGCCAAAGCGGAAAGCTGCGGCGGAGTTCTCGGTTATGTAGAAACATTTTATATAATCCCGTGCCGCATTGGTGAAAAAGAATCTTTAAAAATACTGCTGCACTTCATAAGACTTGTATTCTTATTCTGGCCGATTGGAAACGTCAGCGATTTTGTCCACTGCTGTTCCTGTCACTCATTCACTTTCAAAAAAATCGCTCTTTAAATCCGTGATTTCTACCATGTATGTATAATACAGGAAAAAACCTGACGTAGAGAAATGTTAAACTGTAGGATTGTAAAATATGTCAAACGCTTATTCCTCGAAAAATATTTACCATTGCACTGTGTATTATATTTTTTGTTGTTCAATGCACTTGGGTCCGTATTTAATAAAAAAAAATACATATAATTTTGTATTATCAACAATATTTAAATTGTATCTTCGTAACAATTTATAAGCATATGTAATTGAAAAAATAAACATAAAGTTTCTTTTATTTAATAATATATAATTGATGTATTGATATACATTTCAATCAAAATTATTACACATACTTAAAAAAAATCTAAACTGAGAATTCTGAATTTATAAAGGTCTACACATACATAATTCCTGCACATAAATATCCTAATCCGCGAATATTGCGGTCCTTTGACTCCTATACGCGAATAGCCCCAGGGACTTGCATTATTTAATTATTTGCAGTATTCCACAGCATTAATTAATCAACCTTAGCTTTCACTTGCTAAAATCGCTCCACGATCCGTCTTAGTACTTGCGATTGCCTAATTGGGCCCTACAAAGGATGTTGTACATCACAAACTTGCTGAGCTTTCGAGCTATCTATCTCAAATGCAAGTCTAAATCAAACGGCCAGATGAGAAGCAAATAAATAGATAGTTATGTTTACACTGATATTGTTAACCCATTAGATAATCTTATTTATGAAAGCAAATTTGAAATTTCAAGAATATTGACACAAGAATAGCACTTGTTGAATGGTAGTAACAATGTATTAAAATTAAAAATTTATAAATATCGTTTATCTGTAATAATTACGTTCATTTGATAAAGGTGTTTAAAATTATTACATTGAGAGAAAAGTGTTTGGTATTTATAATTATAATTGCACAGCAAATAATGATAATTAGAAGCATCATTTTTATAGCATTTTTATAAGCATTATTTTATAATACTACTAGCGTAATGCTAATAATATAATACACAAAACAAAACTAAAATTTAAAGTTTGATTGAGACTATGATATTCTTTTGTATTATATTTTAACGCTTTGAAACCAAATTCACACACGCAATGTTCGAATTGCTCCATTATGTCATAATATTTTTTTATCGACAGAAAATAGTTCGATTTTTCAGTATTTTTAGAGCCATTTATAGCCTACTTTTTAACATGAGAGCTGAGGTAAAAAAGAGGAAGTAAGTTCAACGATAATATGCAAGCTTATAAAGTTATAATTAATGTGCAAGTTGGTAGATTAAAAATACTGGAAAATTGAACTATTTTCTGTCGATAAAAAAAGATTGTAACGTGATGGGCAATTTAGACATCGATTTCGGAGTATCAAAATACATGCATCATCTAATCTTTGAATCAAAAGATTTTTTCATGTACCTATGTAATATAGTTCTACCAAAAAATATATTATACAATTAAAAATTACTATAAATTATAATTAAATTATGTAAACATTTTTTCTCTGAGTGAAATGTCTTGCTAAAGAAAAGGCGCGATTTATTACAACGATCCGAGCGTACCATTCCAAACGAACGTTACGCCCCATTTAAAGACAACACGATAGAGCGGGGAATTAACATTTTTAGCATCCATCATTTGGTACCCCACTAATTAGTCGCCGATCGTAATGAGGGTACGTACGCGCGAGCGGCGATCAGGCGCGCGGATAATCCACGCGCTGGACGATCGCCGTCGGCCTGCCGGAGCGTCGCGACGCGGCTCGACAGGGCGCACAGACGCCCGTGCGATATTGCGCTAAACCGAGCAATTACCGGCCGTAATCCCGGTAATAGAATTCCAATATGCGTGCCAATTGGACCGAGTCCTCCCGAGTGCGGGCGTGCAGGCGCGAACCGGCAGGCCGAACCTGCACGCCCCGACGAAAACCGTGACACGGTTCGCCCATTAGCCACGGCCCTCGATTAGCCATGAATTGTTTGGGTGTGCACACGTGCAGCATACGCATCCCCATGTACGCACGTCGCGCATATGTGCGTAATAAGGGGGTGAGCCGCAAATAAGGGGAATTCCCGGAAAGAACACACGGCCCGGATCCATCCCGGATGGCCCGCCAATCTTTCGGATCGCACGTTCGACACATGATGTGGTCATGGTCACTGTTAGCACAATTTCGAAATCTGCTGATCTGGCGTCAGACGTGATTACTGCACGCATATCGAGAGTGCGACCAGCATATGAATTCATGAATAGCATAGATATAGAATAGGGCAGGAGGGAAGATATCTGTCCGGAATCTCGACCGGGGTATATAGAGAGCGGTCGAGTATTGAAATCGGTACAATTTCGGCGAGTTCAATTCTCGATGTAGACGTGGAATTCGATACTGTACAGTGGTAGATACGTAAAAATGTAACCATGCGTCAGTCGTCGCGTTTCATTACGGATCTGTGTGTGCTTGTAACACCGAACTCCCGAAAATTACACCGGCTGCTATCTATCAAATTTACTATCTCTATTCAAACAAGCATTTTTTTTTTACACTGGATATAGCATTGTCAATCAAGAAGACGACTTACAAAAAGCACTTTTCAAAATAGTATAAATTGTAAAGAAATAGAAACATTGAACACACACATCAAAATTTTATTAAATAAAATAGTCAGATTCTTATTACGTACGTCTGCTTTTTTTAAACAAAATTTCATTCAAATTCATATTCATATCTAATCAAGAAAAAAAAAACACCTTTGAGATATTCCATGCTTTCATGTGTGTGTTTATGTGTTTGTGTGTTCTAACATTGAATAAAACTACTTACATAGTTCTGAAGCTGGAAAAGCACGGTGAGCAGGAATATGGAGAGGAGATGATATCAACGTGGAAACTATTGTGAGCTTCATGTGCGTGAGGAAGTGAAAAAAGGTGAAGGTGGATGTCACTGCGTCATTGACAGTCGAACTTCCGCATTGTGCCGCGAGCGTGGACTTTCCGCTTTTGCGCGTTTATTCGCAATCCGTTGCGGGAACGAACGTTGAAATTTCACTCTGAATATACAGAAACAGAACCGATATTACAAACTGCGTCGCTCGACAATGCACTCGCACATTGTGCAATCACACGAAACACTAAAATGTACTAGTCCTTCACTTATTCGATGAAATTCAAACCGATTCCTACGACATTTTATCGTGAAAAAAAAAAAACGTTTCAACTCATGTCGTCATTGCATGTACAGAATTACTCTAATAAATCAAAACTGTTGAAAACTAATGTCGATTTTTTAAAATCATGTTACATTATGATACATAAGTGAAGGCTAATAAATGTGAAAGAAAATGTTTTATCTCGCCGCGAATAAAAATAAAGTTACTTTACTCTTTTTTTTTGTTTTATGACATTCCTACAATTAGAACTTTCTCTCCTTTTAACGAAATCTGTGAATGGACCTCTTAACAATTCTAAGAAGTAGATTAAAAGGTAAAGTACCCTGTAAAGATACTTTAGTAAACTCTGGTTTAGTAAAAATACGGCTGAGTATGTTTATCTTATCACCGCAGAAACGTACCGAGTCTTTCAACTAAATAGGTACGAAACAAAGGACTAAGAGTTGACGATCAATGTACGTGTGTAGTACGGGTAAGGATCGAGGGTTCTACGAGAGGATATACGAGGAGAACTCGAGCAAGAGGATCCTTTGCCGTTAATTGGACCAGATCCGATGATGTCGCCGTGCGAATTGTCGGCCACGAAATTACCCCGATATCTTCTCGCGTCGTCATTTAAAGCCCGAGTGGCACAATCGGACGTCGCTACCCGTGTATTTTCTTTTCCTTGTACCTCGTCGACGACCCCGAAGGGAGTCCAATTACCCAGACGATGAGACCAACCAGACGAGTTTTCGTCGGGACGAAAATCGCAACGAGAAAACGAAATAAGACGTGAAGAATAATAAAACGTAACGCCCTCGAGGTAGTCCCTTTTTCTTTTCGCTTTCTCTTCGCAATTGTGCAGCTCGCGAGAGCGTTGCACGTCTAATGTAAATTATCGATTTTATTGGAACGCGAGATAAATTTAACCCCGATTCATTGCGCGATTACATTTAATTGCCTCCAATTAAATCGCCGTTCCAATTAAAATCAACGCGAGTGCAGAGGGTTCATTACGATTTATTGGACCGATGGTAGTGGTCCTTCTCTCTGCCCTTTATCTCGTACTCTTGCATTACGGATTTGCAAAGAAGTGAACGAAAGAAATCAATATGTTTCTTTATGCATTATTTTTGCAATATCCTTTCAAAAAAACTGATATATTTGATTTCATCATGTTTCTTTATTTAAACGCCTGTATAGAAAAATTAGATCGACTTTTTCCAGGAAATATTTCAATTTGAAAATGATTATCATCGTAATTAATACATGTTCAACATTACTTTTCCGTACAGACAAAACAATATTTTTTAAAAATAATTTCAATCTTTAAAATTGCCTTTAATTTAAAACTAATTAATGTTACATTTCTCAAAATAACACCAACGTTGTCTCGCTAAAACATAAACGTACGAAATACCTGGACGGAGCGTAAAATATTCTTTTAGGCCAAGAGAGTAAAGCTTGAGAGATTATGGGGAAAAATCCATTTTATCAGTTACAGGCACATAGCATCGTGTTCGTGAACAGTTAGTGTAAAGCGTAGTGTACAATGCAGTCGCAAACTCGTCTAAAATCGCAAGTGCGGTTGAAATACTGATTCTAATCACAGGATACTTGAATGCGCAATGATTCGATTCGATTTGTCATTCCTATTCCAACAACTATGATTATAAATTTCGCTACGATCTACAATGAACCATTCACAAGAAATATAGTACACTGTTCATAACTGATTCAGTATTATTATGGTACAACCTAGTGGCTTGCGACTAAAGTATGCACACAAGCATCATAACATGATTCAACTATGAGATCTTCTAAAATTGCAACCTAATTCAACTGCGATTTTAAAACTGCAACCTAACTGAACAGAGTTAGCCCATATCGCTAATTGGATAATTAAATATAAAATTTTCCAGTGGAAATATTCCAAGCATTAGTCGCTATGAATGATTATGATCAATTGCAATGTGATTATTAAACTAGACGCCCTTATCTAAACAACATTGATTACAACAGCATTGTAGACAAGTCTTTATTTAGTATTAACGTAGTGCGTCCCGCTTTTTTCGCTACCAATCGTTGCCATCTTGATTGATTTTACGTTACTTTCCCCTTGAACTTCAACCCCCGCAGCACTAAGCTCTATCCAGATATTTTGTGCATCATGCATCACTGTCGTCCCTACAGTAAAACGCTAACACATTTTTATTTCATAATACGAAAATACAAAAGTATATATGTTTATCATAAATATGTATTTAAAAAATCAAAAGAGATTTCTTACGAAAAAATGTTCATTGAGTTTCCATAAAACGGGCTTGCGCAGACGTGGAAGCATTCATTGACTAGTCGGCGGTGAACCGCCGCTGTCATACTGACTTTTGTTTCTCAATAAATAACCGGCAAGGAAACTTATAGGATCGGCAGGTCTCTCTTTGGCCAGACATGACAATGCTTGCAGCAATATCGGCACTACCGTCTGATCTAAATACTGTCTGGTTGGAAGAGATTGCACTTCGACACGAGGTTTCTTTGCTGGTACGCCAGACAATTCGCCATCCTTATCCATCCCTATTACTTTCTGCAATGAAAAAGAATACAGAGCTTGTACATCTATAAAGCATTTTTTCAAAAGCGCTCAATAATTAAAGAACTGTAATATCTGCATACATTTTACAAACTGTAATTCTTAATTTCGAAACGCATGCTCCGAATTTGCAAGAATATTACCGCTCCAGTACGACAATTGCTATCAGCTGTCAAATAATATAAACACGGAATAACGGACGCTGCTGCGATCGTATAAAACGATCCCTAACCTAACCTTTGCGCCGTGAACGTGTGAATTCTTAAACGTATTGCGATTATCGTCGTGGCAGAAACGCTCGGCGGCAACTCCAATAAAATATTGTCGTTTGTGCGTGTTAACAATTGCGATGTTTCTAGGTTATGTGCTCACTTACGTGGGTCGTCTCGGATACGGCATTGGCAACGGGTTGAGCCGGCGTTGACGCCTCCGTCCGTTCCTCGGTCGCGTTTTCTGTTGTAAAAAAATATATAAACGCAGTGAATAACTTAAACGTTATTAGGGCGTTTATTTCGAACACCGGGCCTGGCCGAGCGATGGCCGGACCGGCTCATGGTTACGCGGAAATAGAAAATAAGAACACACGTACCACCGCCGGACGCCATCGTGTAAACAATCGTCACTGCCGACCGACCGACGTCGAACGTCGGGATAATGTAGCCAACGTCAGGCCGGTAAAGTGCGCCGTCGACAAGGTAGTGGTTTGAGGATTCGCAGCTATATAAATAAAAGAGTCAAGGAAATAAATAATAATAAATAATATTAAGTGAACACATTTTGACTGTGAGTAACGTTCAAATACAAATTATATATATCTTATAATAGAAACGAGTTCTTTAATTTATTGATTTAATAAATTAAAAAAATGTATATTTTATTTTACGAAGCAAAGTTGTAGTTACGCATAATGAGATTGATCTATCTATTAATAAATTAAAAAAATTTGTCTATTGTTATATAAATTTTAGCAAACAATGCGTTAATTATTTAAGTATTGGCTTTAAAGCTTTAAAACACAATTCTAAATTGAAATTGGAGTAAGATAAGAGTAAGATAGAATTGAGGTAACACTTTTTATTTAAATTATTATAAATCTTTACACAATTATATGATACATAATATTAAAAGTTAATTAATAATTACAAATTCGATCACCGAGGCATTACGTATTCCAGTTAATGTTAAATATTCTTGAAATATTCATAAAATGTTTCTATAATCCTGAAATAATATTTCAAGATTATTCTGGTATATTTCGAAATATTTACAGAATGTCAGAACAATAAATTCAAATAATCGTTAAATATTTCATTCACATATGTCGTTACATATTTGGAGAATGTTTCACACATATTCCACAAGATTATTATTTTCCCAGAAATTCCAGGTCCCTGAATTCATTTTAAACGAAATTGTACTGTCAAAAACACATTTCATTTATTTTCACCTTGGAGCTCAATTTTAGAGACTCACTTTACAGGCGAAATGTTACACTTTATATTCTTTTCCATTATGATTCTTATTTACGAGTTAATGCAGCTCCGCCACATCCATCTGTCAACGAGAATGTGTACTGCTCGCAGTGAGTGATTTTAATGATATACGTATACAAGAAACATTTATACAACATTCAAATATTTCATTATTATTTTAATATATTCTATGAAAATTCCTCTTCTATTCTGGAATATACGAACCATTTAAAATATAAATTGAATATTTTATGAATATTTATCATTATATATACCTATAGCTGGAACAATATTAATGAATAGAATAACAATAACAATGATATCTTCATTTTAAAGATTTAAAGCATAAATAATAAGAACTATTATTTATTTTAGAAAATAACTTGAAAGAATTAATTGCTTATCCCAACTACTAATGTAACTATAATAGTAAATTTGAAAAACATAATGAAACTTGTTTAAAAAATATTTATAATGTCATGATAGTACACTTAAATATTTATAATATAGTAATTTTAATGTAATGTATTTTATAATATATAAGACGGTAATGATTTATAACATAAGACGTATAATAACGGGCAAAGTGTTAGGTGACCATCCAATTATACGATTATCGTATAATTTTTTGATAGTTTTTTTTTAATATTAAATATGTACGAATCCATTTTTTAAATTGCTCCATCACAATTTAAAAAATTTGCAGTTAAAAGTTGCAAAAAGAGATATTTTTATGTACTTCGTTACATTTTAACTATATGATATGTAAAATATGATGGAGAAATTTTATAATATTGTAATGTATAATAATCTTTTTATTAATTAGCATTGTAAATAATTTCCGTATCTACCATGAAAACATATTGGTCCTAGAATATTGTTGTATTAATGCGACCCGGGCACGCCAAATTTTTTCATCTATAAGTTGAAATATAATACTCAAGATAATTGCATTCATTTCATATCATTTTTATTAAGAAGAATATAAAATATTCGATACTTTTTTGTGCACTTTATATTTTTTTCTTTTAAAAAAAAGTTTTTTTTAGGGATGCACTAATTATATAAATTAAGAAACAAATATAATAAACCTGCAGATTTGAGAATAGGAACAGAGAAGAAAAATATCGAATATCAAGAAATAAAACATAATATTTTATCGTGGCATAAAAGAAAGCGTAAGATTTTAAATATTGTAAGAGATAAAAAATAAAAACTAGAAGTATATACAGCAGTCATTGAAACAGAATGAAGTTCCTGATTGTAACGAAGAAGTCTTGTAAAGAGTGCGGTTCATTTAATGCACTCTTTACAATTTACTTCGAAGCATTTGATTGATCAATCAAGAAGAAAGAATCTTACTAATTGACCAATCAGAGAATACTTCAAAATATTAGTAACATCAAGTGGAGTGTAGCCAAAATGGAGTACTTGAATCTAGAATATTATATATAGAAAACACGAATGTAGAATTAATTGTTAAAGTGCTTAAGTAGATATAAGCTTGATATAATAGGTAATCATTATAGTTAAAGTACTCGTATATAGTAGATGAGTATATAGTCAAACTATATTTAAAGCAAAAATATAAATTTTGAATTGAAATAATTGATCTTCCCAAAAATTGAATTGTTTTCATTATTTTTTTTTACCACTTTATAGTTAAATTACATATATGCAAAAGTTGTTTATATGTATAAACAAAATTTTCGTGAATACAAGTGAACAACAAACTTTTAAACAGGAAATGGAAGTAACGCGTTACTTGTAACGCCGTTACAAATTATTTTTTTAAATAACGGTGTTATTTTTTTGTAACGGTAATGTAGATATACATATTTTTGGTCGAAATTTGCTAGAATAAAATATAAAATATTTCTTAAATTATTGATTTATCGATATCTTAGTACTTTTATATGCAGAATAATTTTAGAGGAATTAAATAAAAAAAATAATTTTATTTAGAAAACAAAGTTAATCTTGAAATCTTCGAAGCGTCGCCATTTATATAAAAATTGTTATATAATAGTAATTTTCTCTTTCGTACCATCCAATTTCAATTAGACAAATTTTCCTTTAAACCTTATAAATTCGAAAATATTTAATTAAAGTGGTAATGGTTATTGAGACACGCCGTATAGCAAACATTTCCAGTTTTGTTATAAATAATTGATAAAGGAATGGAGAAAAACGACGATCATTTTAAGGTTTATTTATTCAACGCAAAGTTAGATACTACAACTTTGGTACAAAAACATAAAATAGTGGCGTTGAGAGGAAACGGTACACTGCGAGCGGATCCTCGAGTCTCCTCGAGCACGGAGGATGTTGCGTGTATTTTTTATTACTTTTCCACTATCAAACGTGAGATCACGTTCCTGCGAATTCTTTCGCACGTACGCGAGGATCGTGAAAAGGACGCGAAGGAAACGCTTCGAGTTTGACAGGCAACGCGATGGTATAAGGAAGGAATGGATGGAAAGGTGAGGTGAGAGAACACGAGCTCGAAGAACCGCACTCGCCGTCGTACGAAAAAAACAGCCAAATGCTTTCAACGCAATATTATCAATCAAGCATACACAAGCGAGCGACACGCTTCGCGGCGTCCCTCAATAAAGTAACGTCGAATCTTGCAAAGAATTACTACGCAGTACCTATATATAACGTCGATCACGAGAAGCGCGACGAGCGAACGATGGGCACGGGGGGTATCCGGCAAGAAAGGCACGAGGACAGCGTATACATGTATATCAACCCTACGAGGATACTACTGTGTATGGGCAAAGCAACCGCGAGTGAAAGATGAATGAATCGATAAGCAAACATGGACGTAAAATTCTCAGTCTTTGAGTATTACTCATCGTCAACGTTTCAGCTGCGAAAAACATTTAATGTTTAGCCGCAAATCGATTTAACTGATTATCGCTATAAAATATCGCCTCGTACGTAGCCTCTTTTGCCGGTCACCCCGGGCCGCTCACAACATAAACGTTTATCACCTGTGCGACGTCGCGGACGTCCACTTCGCTTAAGACAAAAGTTAAAAACCGCGACCAAGGTAGCGCGCGGACGTGATCGTATTACTATATACGAATGCATTAATATCATCATCATTATCGGCCTGTGCCGTATTTAGCTCTGGTTAGATTCGGAAGCGATTCGAAGCGACAAAGTTTCGCGGGGGCGAGTTACGTGAGTAGAACGTGATACTGTAAATCGTAAAGGGTGATTTGGGACGAGATACGGCTACGTTAATTACGGTAAGAGCGCGATTGTAACATATACACGAGACACGAGGCTTTTTGCGCAGCCTTTTAAAATCACATCGATGAGTAAAAGTGCGTTGGCGCGTCGAGCCGTGACCAGTTTCGAGTGGCAGAGGGTAGGAATTCCTCTGCAAGTGCAGAAGCGACTCGAGCGGACGAAGCACCCTTCAAGTTCTGTTCCAACGTTCCGAAAAGTCTCTCTTTACAGCCTATATGTGCGCATTTTTACAGATTTAATCTCATTCCACACTCTCACACACAGAGGAAAGACATAGTAGTATAACAACTGTATAAGTCACAACTGTATAAGTTTTATATCGTGTAGAGTTAATGTACGTAGTTGAATAACTATTTTGTAATCGTAACAATTATAAAATACGTTATTCAACTATTTGTATATTGATTCTACATAATAATAACTCTATACAGTTATTATCACTATGTTTTTGTCCGACAATGAGTGATGCAGTGAGTAATAAAAAACATGGCAGTAGCAATTTAGGCCGTACTAATTGCTGCTTGAATGAAATTGGCTTTAAAATGTAATTAGCGCCAGAATATTAATGTTAAGTAAATTTCAAAATATTTTCTTTCGATCGATAAATGTAATAGATTGAATGAAATGAATTAATGATAACATCAACAAGGAACAATAATTCACAAAATACAGCTTGTCCACACGGATCCGGAGTTACATACACGGGAACAATCGATTGTCCACGTGATATAATAATTTTTCGACAGTGCTTCCTTGACTTTAGTCGCCCAACTGGTAGTCGGCTCGCGCATCGCCTCGGCAAACAAATGCGACACCTAGAAATAGCTACTTACAACGTATGTATATATAGTTAGTGTATATATAATATATATTTATATTTGTATGTATATATCTAGAAATAGTATCGTGATAAAAACGAACTATGAGACGCGGCGTCGTGGCCGCGGCGTTGCGCGACGTCGGGCTGGTGCTACACGCGAAGAAGCTCGGGAAGCATCCGCTTCGTTGGTCGAACCAGCAAAAAATCAATTGTCCGATCGCGGACAGACAGACCATCTTCGATTTGTGTCCTGAGGTATAACGTCCCGTTAACCAGATCCCGACCTCTCGCCCCGTCGCGAAGATCAACGATCGCCTTCTCGCGACCATCCGTCCGACTTATGAACTAACTACGTTAAACCAGCTTCTTTTATTACTCGAATCGCTTACACCTGTAACGATCATCGTCGCGATGTCAGTGAATCTTACGTACGGTACGTCGCGTAATTGATCGATAGAAGATTAGCACGGGGGGATAATTAGGTGTTTACAGCGGACTAAATGTTTATATCATATAGGACGACAGCAAGTGTAGTGTGGCGTATATCGCGTGCACGCGCCAGCGTGCGTATTATCGTAATGTTATGTGGCTGGCCTCGCCGTATGTGTATATCGAAGCGTTCCCTCGATGGCTTGCCGCGTTGTTCTTCCTACGGACAGTCGATCGGTGTTTCGTGTACGGAACTTATTTCCTTTCGAGCGAACAATGGGAATGTCTCGAATCGATCGCCTAAACGGATCGCTACAAGGACGACGATGACGACGACGAAAGACGAAAATGCGACGACGTACCCTATAAACCTTGCTCTCCGCGACGTCGAGACTCAAGATCACCGATCGTCAAGGGGGGGGGGGG